GCTAAAGATAGTACCCTGAGCTTCCTGCAGGCTAGGCAAGCAATCTACAAACTGAGACATCTCTTTAGCTCTGAACCAAGATTTCTGAAGCCTTTACACACTCTGTGGATAGCTCAGCATAATGACTCAACCTATAATCAACTCGGGAGATGGATGCAGGAGGACTGCATGAGTTCATGACCAGTTTGAATGACACGAGACGTTACCTAAAGAAAGGGGTAGGTGGGTGGAGATGGCTCTTGCCTAGCATGCCCTAAATTTAATTTCTATTCCAAGCCCCACTGCTAAAAGTTAATGTCAAGCAATAGGGAGAGAGTTAGTAATTATTACAGTATAAAAGAAGCTAATGAGCTATGACAACTAAATTAGATCCTGACTAGGAAAAAAATAGACGCACAAATCAAAGATGGGACGGGATGTGTCCTGTAGATGGGACTGTAAAAATACTAAAGGCCCCGAGTGTGATAACTGTGCTGGAACTGTACATGGTCATGTCTTCATTCTTAGGAAGACCGTCCACACCAGCTGAGGGGGAATCTCCAACAGAGCTCGCATAGTTCAGAAAGGGTAGACAGACATAGGGCTGTGTATGGCACTTGTGTAAACACTATGGGGAAAAAGAGAGCATAAGACATAAGGCAGACCAAAATGCTTCATGTGGGTGGACTAGAGGTTTCTTGGAATTTCTTGTACTTCTTCATAAGTCTGGAATTATATCAACACTACAAACGATAACGGGAGGGCGGCAGTGAGGTGGCTCTGTGGCTACTTCACAGCAAGCCTGACTGTTAGTGTTCAGACACCTGCCCTGCCCTTGGGGCTCTGACAGGAAATACCCTGGGCTGCAGCCACTAGAGCTCCTCCTGTGCACATTCACTACATTCCCTTTTAAAGGTGGGCCCTGCCACACACACACACACACACACACACACACACACACACACACACACACACACACACCGTCTCTCTGCCCCTCTCCTTCCCTCTCTCTCTCTCTGTCGGTCTCTCTTTCTCTCTCTCCCTCCTCCCTTCCTCTCCCTTCTCTTCCGCCATTCCCGCCCCCAGAGGCTGGCCTTCCCCTCCTCTCCCCACGTTTCCATTCCCTTTCCCTTAATAAAAGCCCCCTCCACATGAGCTCTGCCTCATGGCGTCTTTCTCTCGCACACCACTTTTCACAATACTGCTGACCTGAGTTTGATCCCCAGGACTCACGAGGTAGAAGGAGGGAACTGACCCTCTCGAGGCCCCTCAGACCTTCACACACATCGTGATGCACACAAACTCACGCGGACACACACACACACACACACACACATATAACACATGCATAATTATGTTTATTTATTTAGTTAGGTTTTTCAAGACAGGGTTTCTCTCTGTAACAGTCCTGACTGTCCTAGAACTTGCTTTGTAGACCAGGCTGGCTTCAAACTCACTGAGATCTGCCTGCCTCTGCCTCCCGAGTGCTGGGATTAGAGGTGTCCACCACCACCACCCAGCTACATTTTTTATTTTTTAATAAGTATATATGTAGAGGTTGTTGGGACTCCCCTTTGTATGCTATGACTGTTTTATTACCATTTGTTAATTTTTTAAAAAACTGCTTTGGTCTAAAGCAGGGCAGAATAGAGCTAGGCAGAAAAACTAAACTGAATGCAGGGAGAAAGAAGGTGGAGTCAGGCAGACGCCATGTAACTGCCAAGGAAGAAAGATGCCAGAACCTTATCAGAAGGCCACAGCCTTGTGGTGATGCACAGATTAATAGAAATGGGTTAATTTAAGATATAAGAGCTATCTAGAAATACACCTAAGCTATTTATTGGCCAAACAGTGTTGTAATTAATATGGTTTCTGTGTGATTATTTGGGTCTGGGCAGCTGGGCAGCCGGAAAACCAATGTGCAGTCTCCATCTACAAAATGGCACCTAATGTGGGGCATTATGCTCACCGGTTGGTGCCTAGCCCAACTGGCATCACGGTGGTGCCATCCAGCAACCAATGGGAGCAGTTGCAGAGACATGGCGTGTAGCTGTCACCTCAGCACTGGAGAGGCAGAGACAAAGGGGACTCCTGTGGCTGGCTGGCAGTAAGCTCTAGGTTCTGTGAGAGACTGTTTTAAAAGGTAAGGGTGGAAGACATCTAATTTTGACCTCTGGCCTAAACAGGTATGCACAAACATTTGTACCGGCACACACACACACACAAACACATATACACACAAAAGTCTCTCTTACCTTAAACACAAGTTTTTCTCACAATAGTAAACCACCATTTCACTACTGATATGCTTATGGGCAAATGTCATCTTTGGAATGTAGTCTCAACTTCTTTGTATTATTTTGTATAATTAATGTACCGATAATAAATAAGGTTATATAAACAGAGTATAGGCTCCCGGGGATATTGTGGAATAAATTTTCACACCTTATTTACTTCTTTGGACTTTCAATGCAGTTCCTTCCTAAACAGTCTCTTCCCTGCAGCCCACCTCCCTTCAGTCCTAACATCATGATAAGACCATAATACTTTACAGTCATTTTGTTGTTGTTGGGTTTTTTTGCCACCATCTAACCACAACAGCAGACATCAGGCCCCTTAAAGTCTTGTCTCCTTATAGGATCCTGGCCCAAAGCCTGTGTTCTTCCATCAGCAACACCAAGGGTATATGGGTAAATTTCCCAGATGTAGGTTCTCTTAGTATGGAAACCTAAAGAAAATAAGTCATGTTCCCTTTCTCCCCCAAACACCCAGTAGCTAAGAAAAAAAAGTAGTCAGAACCCTCATCCAGATAGAGAGAAGAAAAAGATATATAACTGTTACTAGTTCATAGCGATAAACAATGGTCTGTTAAGATACAAATGGCTGCCTCGGCATTACGTGGTTACATAATGCTTACCTATCAACTAAGGCTGAGACTGGGCCATTGTTTTTAGAAGCCAGGATGAGGTGCCCTTGGGATTTTAAAAGAAAAGCAGGCATCATTTATATTATATCATCAAGCCACTTGTTCACAGAAGTTAAACAGAGCTCCTAAGGTGAAAAATGCTAGGAATTAGTAAGTTCATGGTATACAGCATTTTGGTCATGTTGTTTACAAATTAGCAAAGCCAAGCAACTGGAAGAATCAGTACTTCCCTGGGACCATCTGGAAATTACACTTTCCAGGGGCTGATAAGACTGCTTAGCAGGTAAAAGCACTTGCTGAGCAAGCCTGAAGACTTGAGTTGTATCCTCAGAACACAGTGCAAGAACAGCACCTCCTCTCAAACGCTGTCTTCTAGTCTCCACCAGCATCCTTTGAGATGCACACACACACACACACACACCCCTCCCACTCCCTGCCACCACTCCCCACTAGGAATAATTAAACTTTTTAAAAATTTAAAGTACAGGGCTGGAGAGATGGCTCAGAGGTTAAGAGCATTGCCTGCTCTTCCAAAGATCCTGAGTTCAATTCCCAGCGACCACATGGTGGCTCACAACCATCTATAATGAGGTCTGGTGCCCTCTTCTGGCCTGCAGGCATACACACAGACAGAATAATGTATACATAATAAATAAATAAATAAATATTTTAAAAAAAAATTTAAAGTACACTCCCAGGTCAGGTGTAGTGATGCATACCTGTAACAGCAGGACCTGTGACTCTGAAACAAATAAATAAATAAAATACATCTTCCAAAAGCAATTTCTCAGAGTGTGGCAGATGGCTCAGAGGTCAAGAGCACTTGTTCTTGCAGAGGACCTGGGTTTGAGTCCTAGTACCTACATGGTGGTTCAAAACCATCCCAGCACTCTAAAGTCAAAGGCAGGCAGCAGACCTTGGTTTAAAGGTCAATCTGGTCTACATAGCAACATAGTAAGGCCCAGTCTGAAAAAAAACAAAAACAAATAGAAAAAAAAGAAAAAAATTCTGGTCTAAATGGCATTTCATTACTTTCTGTATAGTTAATAGACTATAATAAAACATATTTCAGACATCAACCTCAGATTAGTCTAGGGGTCAATAAGATGGCCCAATGAGAAAAGCTGCCTGATGCTAGACCTGATGTCCTGAGTTCAATTCCTGTTGCCCACACAGGGGAATGAAAAATTAAGTTGTATTGACTTATAACACACACCCTGGCACTTATCCCCCCTCACATATATGCACAAAATAAATATTTTAAGAATACCATTAATTCCTTACAGCTATTCATTCAACAAATATTCACTAAGAAATATTATGGGGAATGTATTGTAGACATAAGGGTAACAAGACCTTCACTGCCCTTAGAATTATTCAGTTGGGAAGACTCCTTGATAAGCAGTTCCCAAAACATAGGCTCTTCCTATTAAGTAAGTCAGTACTACCTACCTCTTCCCTATTAAATAAGTCAATACTACCTACCATTCACTCTATTAGAACCTCGTTGAGAGAAATCATGAGTGAAAAATTATCTGTTATGATAATTTAACCAGGCATGATGGCATGAGTCTTTAATTCCAGCACTTAGGAGGCAGAGGCAAGAGGATCTCTGATGACTTTGAGGCCACAATAGTCTACATAACAAGTTCCAGGCCAGCCAGGGCTTTGCATTAAGACCCTGTCTCAAAAACACAAAAACAAAGCCGACCATGCAATTTACATATCTAGACAGACATTCTTGAGCTAAGCTAGTTGGTGAGATGCTACTGTAAGCCCGCAAAGGTGTGCCTTGAGCTCAGCTTGTTACGCTCTCTGCTTCCATAAGGAAAATGTCATACGAAACTCTTTACCAACTTCCTATGAGGATCCTGCACCTATCACCTCATGTCGCCCTAAGAAATACATGCACATTTCTCTTACAAATTAAAGTCTGGTGACAGGGCTGGAGAGATGGCTGAGTGGTCAAATAGGATTGCACAAAATTTGAAGATACCCAGAATCCACAGGGTACATTTGCACACACACACTCACCCACAATGTAGTAAGAAAAAAATATGACAAAGAAATGCTTCTCTTCATTCTGACTGCTAAATCATTTTTTTTTACAGGTTCATCTTTTTATTGGGCATGTTAACAAAATATTTAGTGAACAACACCAAAGCCCATGTCGTCATCAGAAGCCTCGGAGTCTTCCTTCTTTTCTTCCACTTTCTTCTCCGCAGTGGGGGCAGCAGTGGTGGAGAAGGCAGGACCGCCTGCTGGTGCGGCTTCAGCCCCTACCTTGCATTTGAGACTCCCAGTGCTGACATTGGCGAGGCCCTTTGCAAACAAGCCAGCCCAGAAAGGTTCAGCATTGATGCCAGCTGCACTAATGAGGGCGTTGATCTTATCCTCCATGACCACCACCTTGCCATGGTGGAGGATGAGGGCAGAATAGGTAGAGGCAAGCTCAGAGGTGGAGGCCGTGGTGTGGACGGCTAGCACAGTGCTAGTCGCTGGAAGAAGTGAGGGCCTCACCCCAGTGTGGCCTCAGGTTCCTTGGAGGGACTGAGCACCACGGCAGCAGTTGAGGAAAAAGCCCAAATCTTTCACAAAGCCAAATCTGAGGCTAATGTCTCAGCTCTATCCTCTGTAAATATCTATTTCTCCATTCCAACACACTGGGATTAACTGGTATTTCATTCTCCCTTTCTGGACAGCTGAGTCTTAACACAGATTGCTGTTATTCTGTTGCATCTACAGCATTAGTGATATCACTGTATAAAATACAGTCAAGCATAAATAAAACAAAAACTGAGCATAAACAATAAGAAAACAATGTCAATAGAGCTGCAACATAAAAACATTTTTAAATTATTTATTTGGGGGGGGGCACATACACACATGGCACAGTGTATGAATGAAGGTCAGACAACAACCTTTGGGAGCCAGTTCTCTCCTTCTATCATTGGGTCCTGGGGATTGATCTCAGATCCTCAAGCTTGGAGATAGGTAGTTTACACACTAAGTCACCATGCCAGACAATTAAAATTTTTTTAAAATTTATTTGTTGAGTGGGAAATGGATTTGGTGTGTAAAATGAGAAAAGATTAAAATAAATTAAATTTAAAAATTATTTACTGGGGCTGGAGAGATGGCTCAGTGGTTAAGAGCACTGACTGCTCTTCCAAAGGTCCTGAGTTCGATTCCCAGCACCCACATGGCAGCTCACAACTGTCTATAATTCCAATTCCAGGGGACCCGACACCCATGGCAAATCACCAATGCACATAAAATAAATAAATAAAAAATAAATAAAAGATTTTTAAAAAATTATTTATTGAATGTAGTGGAGCATACTCTGTCCCACAGCATATGTGTGGATGGATGTCAGAGAATAAACATGCGTTAGGTTGGTTCTCTCCTTCAACAATGTGGGCCAAGGGTATCAACTCAGGTTTGCAAGCTTGGTAGCAAGCATCTCACCTGCTGAGCCATCTCACCAGGACTCCTCTTTTTTTGCTGACAGTGTCTCATGTATCCCAAACTGGCCTCAAAGCACCCTACTGTAGCTGACACTGACCTTGAATTTCTAATCCTCCTGCTTCCAGCTCCCGAGCACTGGGATTCCAGGCCCGCACCACCATACTCCACTTTATGTGGTGCTACAGCTCGAACTTGGGGTCTGTGCATGCTAATCGAGCACTACCACCTGAGCTTCCTCTCCGTTCCTGAGTGGCAGCTGTGACAGCTTGAGTACAGAGCCCTAATTAAGGCAGAGAGTCACACAAAACACCCTGAAGACCCACAACTAAGAAAGACACACTGCGTGTTGAGATGTGAGAGCAAGGAACTGCTCTAGGCAAGAAACAGATGTTAAGGCCTGGGATGAAAGAGCACTCAGAGATTACAATAAACCAGTTTTTTGTTTTCTTCTTTGGTAAACCACTGTGTCAGAAGAGAGGCTGTTTCTGGAGTGGGGAGCCATGACACTGGAGAGGTACTTTAGACCACATTAAGGACTTTTGGTTCCTAACCTAAAAAGCAGCCTAGTAATACAAGAACAGTTTACTGAAGGAAAAAAAAAAAGACCCTCAAAAATGGTGACAGCTACCAATTTCCACAGGCACCAGGTATATTTAATAATTATAATCCCTAAAATGATCAGAGAAACAACCCCATCCTATCCTTACCCTTACCAAGACTGTGTAAACACTCTCCTTTAAAAATGGGATCAATCCCTGACAGGCTGGAAGGGACTTAGGGTAAAAATTAGAGCCGGGATTCCCAGACTGCCCACTCTCTTCTGCATCTGATACGTGGACTGACAGCAGCTCTGTAAGAAAGTGAAGGAACTCTTGAAAGTGTTCATCTCACCCCAAGGCAGGCAGCGAGACAGTGTTAAGATTTTATGTCTCCGATGGTTCCAATCACAGTTTCTAACACAGACACGAACCCATGCAGTGTTTCAGACCTCGCCACGCTCTGCTTCACAGAGGTCTGCATTTCTGAGTTCTCAGGCTTCAGCAGCAGTTCAGTTAAGAAGAGACAGCCGGTGTCATCCTGAGCGCTGAGGTAGGCTTTCCAGGGCTTTGCTCCAGCCCTGCTCATGGCGATGGTCTGAATGTTCACTACTCTTAGAGCCATTTGGAGAGTGTCGGGCTGGACTTCTCCCTGCCAAGGAAATACCTGTTGATGAGCAACTTTGAGGCTAAGCCATGTTTTCTCAAAATACTCAGCAGTAAGCTGGAGATTGGGGACCAGCACAAGAGCTTCAGGATCAGGAGATTCTTGTATTCCTTCTTTGTTCTCTTCAGAAATCAAGTGACCTAAAACAATTAGAAGACTTTTATAAGAGATACTCTCAGCAACATTTTTACCTTACATTCCAAAATACCCAATGTGTTGCCAGGCATGGTGGTACCCACTTGTACTCCTTGTACTTGGGGTGGGGGTGAAAGCAGGAGGACCAAGGCTGAAAGGGAAGCCTTGGGTACACACCCAGCTCAAGGCCATTGTAGCTCATAAACATCAAAAGCAAAGCACATATACGGTGACTGCTGTCTTCAGATAAATGGTTAAATAACCATGATGTTAAATAGCCAATGACGGACTCTCCTCATGCCCACAAAGGATTCAAATTCAGGCAAGCATCTGAAATTTAGCTACAGTATTTTACTTTCCACCAGTTCCCACAAGGGGGGGTGGAAAGTTTTACCATGGCAAGACAGAAGGTAAACACTATTTTTACCTGGTGTGGCCAATGATGCACTGGGAGGCAGCTCAAGGCGATGAGGTTCTCCCTTCTGGCATTTAGAGATAGTTGCCCAGTGGGCTTTGCCATACACTGGCACCAGTGTGTTGAAATCTGAAGCCCAGCTATTCACAGGTCGTTCTGGCTGATCCTCCAAAAGTCCCAGAGAAGGGTCAGACTTAGGACTACAAAGGATCTGCTTAACTTTATCAATGCCAACTAACAGGAGGCGATAATAGAAGAGACCTCGGTCTCGTACAGCCATATCCTTTTCTTCCTCTGAGAGAAAACAATGGATTGAGTTAAACAAACAGACACCCTACTCCCTCCAACCTTTGTGCCAACCATAAGAGGAGAAAATAAAGAAACTTTAGAAAGTACCACCTCCTTTCCAAGCTCCAGACATGATTTCCCAGCAGTGCAGGCTGCGAGGACTTGTAGCTGAGTCTCAGCAGGTGCTCTGCTCTGGGAAACCTACCTATGCAGTAATGTAACAGTCGTCCCAGCATGTCCTGGCACTCCGCAGGGCGCAAGAGGAAAAGGCGCATTAGTGCAGTCAGTAGCTCCATCTTAACGGCAGGAAATGTCTCCGACTTCACATTTTCTACAAACTCCTCCAACACATAAGGAGCATTGGGGATTTTTTCCCCATGGACCCCAAGTAACCAAATAAGTGCCTGTTTCCCCTAGGAATTAGAAAATAATAGATGTTTAAAATGTGGCTGCCCAAACAAGGAAACAGAAGACAGCCACGGGTGTAGCTTTTCCCCTAGTGCCAAGAGACAAACTATACTGTTTCATTGGTATCAATGTGCATTGTACATCCTGCTCCACTACTTCTCGAAAATAAACAAGAATGAAATTCTAATGCAATGGGACTGGGGTTAGGGATGCAGTGCAGTTGACAAAATGCCTACAGAGCAGGCACAAGACCCCGAGTTTGATGCCCAGCATCAAAAAACGGGGTGTGAGGTTTAAAAAAAAAAAAAGCCAGGCAGGGGTGGCCCATGCCTTTAATCCCAGCACTTAGGAGGCAGAGGCAGGTAGATCTGAGTTTGAGGCTAGCCTGGTCTACAGAGCCAGTTCCAGGATAGCCAGGGCTACACAGAGAAACCCTGTCAGGTGTAAGGATCACACCTATAATTCCTCACTTAGCTGATGGAGGCAGGAGGATGAGAGTCCAAGGTCAAAGTTAGCTACACAGTGAGTTTGATGACAACCTGGGCTATATGTGAGACACCAGAGATAAAGAGAACAACAACAACAACAAGATAACCTTTTGTAAGGCTAGGCTGACTAAGCAATTAAAGCTTTCTTGGTTTGGGGCCTTTTGTCCAATTTAAGGTTTAATTGTAGGGATACTTTGTAATCTAACAAATAAAGCTTGTCTGAAGGTCAGAGTGTAGATCTAAATCACTAGTCAGCCACACAGGACTGGCAGTAGTGGTACACACCTTTAATCCCAGCACTTGGGAGACAGAGGGGGACGGATCTCTGTGAGTCAAGGCAACTCTGGGCTACATGAGATTGAATCTGTCTAAAAGAGAAACAGAACTCACACAAAGGTGATCTCAGTACTTGGGATCATACACCTTTAATCCCAGCACTAGGGAGGTGGAGACAGGAGTGATATGGCTGGGTAGAGAGAAGATTATAAGGCAGGAGGCGACAGGAGCTCAAATACATTCTGAAGATTAAGTCTGAGGATTCATAGAGATGGGTGCAGTCTGAAGATGCAGTCTAAGGTTTCATAGAGACAGCAGCAGTCTGAAGATTTGGACAGACAGGATCACTCTTTGGTCTGAGCCTTGGTAGAGGTAAGAACTGTAGTGGCTGCCATTCTCCTTCTCTGATCCTTCAGCTTTAAGCCAATACCTGACTCCGGGTTTTTATTATTAGGAACAATTAGAATTCATGCTACATTTAATGTTTCTTTTGTTGTTGTTTTTTGTTTATTTTTTTGTTTTTGACTATGTAGCTTTGGCTGTTGTGGATTCAGTCTACAGACCAGACTGGTCACAAACTCAGAGATCCACTAGCCTCTGTTCCCAAGTGCTAGAACCAAAGGGGTGTACTGAGGTTTCATGTTTCAATAAAAACTACTTAAGAATTTCTTGCAATCTTGTTATGAAAGTAGTTATTAACTTAGAAGATACACCAGAATCATCTGTCATGTTTCTTAAAAGCCCATCTGTCTAGATATCCCCACCCCTAGATATTTAACTCAGCAAACTTTGTGGGGAGGAAGGAAATAAATTTCTGTAAAAATCTCAAACAAAAAGTACCACACAGGCCAGACATGGTGGAGCACATCTTTAATGCCAGCACTCAGGAGGCAGGCAAGTCTACTGTACACACCAAGGACCATACCAGCCAGGGCTATGTAAGTGGTAACAAACAAAAAAACTACCACCACCACCAACAAAAAATTCCATAATCTAAATCTCTGACTCATAATTATTTAAAAAGGACAATGGTATCAAAGAATTTGTAATTAACACTACAGATAAGCTTCCTTTTTATAACTTTTGTGTTATTTATGTCCCCAAAATAACCTGAGATATAAGCAAGCTTGAGGTCCTACTTGGACACAGGATGGTAAAAAGAGTAATTGGCTTCCATTTCAGGGCTAGAGACTTTCTCAGTGGTAGAAGTGTATACCTAGCGTGAGTCTGATACCCAGCACCACAAGACCTAACAGATACAGACTCCATTTTGTAGCATGAATAATAAAAACTCAGAGACAAAAACTGGGGTTCAACCTGGAAACCAGAAAAGAAAGTCAGCCAGCCACTAGAGAGGTGCTACTTCTAGCAAGGCTGGGGAGGAACACTAAACAGATTAAGCCTCTCTGTGTCCCATTTTATATTCCCTCGAGAGCTGGGATTAAAGGCACTAAAGCCACCACCACCTGGGTTTGTTTCTGCACTGATCTTGTGGCCCAGGGAGGCCTTGAATTCAGAGATCCCTTTGACTCTGTCTCCCAAATACTTGGATTAAAGTTGTGTGTCACCATGGCCTGACTTCTAGTGGCTTTAGCTTTGCCTCTGCTCTTCAGGCAAGATTTATTTATCAAACTACACCGCTACACCATTTCAGAAGACAGGTCCTATAACCCCTTCTGTGATTACAAGTGAAAAGAGAATTACAGTCTACCTCAGTGTCTTGAATGTTCTCCTCACAGCCGGGCAGGGCCTGACACACAGCTTCAGTACACTGAGGGCACAACCACACCAGGTCTCGGAAAGTCTGCACCACCACTACAGCACAGGGACACAAGAGCACGGGTTAGCGTCCGTGCAGGAAAGAATCCTGAGAAGATGCGTGTGTTTGGATTAGATTTCTCACTGAACTTCACAAAAACAGGGTTTGGAGGGGTAGTTATTAATTAATTGAGAGACAGAAAAGACACATGAATTTTACGCAAAGATAAATTTGA